TGCAAAAGATAATTAGTCATGATCACATGTGATTGATACTAGGAATGCAAAGCTGTTTTCACAATCAAATGTCAATGATTTCCATTCTCATAATGCTAAAATAAAGAGGTAAAGCCATGTATTCCTCTTTGTTGGAGGCAGAAATAACAATTGATACCATTTTCAATCCACTAATGATTTAGTAAAATGCATAAAGGTAGAAGGAAAGGAAATAGAGATATCCTAATGAAGACATTCACTAAGAAAAAAATCTATTGCTAACATTATACTTATTTGGGATTGTGACTGTGGATAACCCCCTATATAGGCACCGAGAAAGGAGAGCTAAGCAGAACCCTGGCACAATTAAGGCCTGAACAATGTCTCAGTTGATGGTGTTACTACTCAGTTATTTCCCTTTATACAATCCTCTCTATATAATCATATATTAGTTCATAGCATGAGTGCCTAATGAATATTTCCCAACATATATGCAATTATATCTTAGTTCATTATCGGTGGAATGCCTAAAGCAGACACAGTACAGAGCATGAATTAAGGAATAAGCAGCTTATAACTGGAGGAATTCCTACAGCAGACACAGGGCAGAGCAGGATTTAAGGGAAAAACAGTTATACCAGGACAAGAATCCATGGCCCAGGCGGCAGTGTTCAGTATCATAAAGATACCCCCTGTATGGCAGGCTTGGGGCGAGAGCCACTCCTCCTGATAAAGGAGTTGTAGGACCTTGCTCCAGTTCTACTGGGAGGCTGCCCTCAAACCAGCAATCCACCTTGGTGACTGTGAACTTTAACAGCTCTTGTTACTGTGCTGCTCAAAAAGCATCTTCCCATAGAAGCCATTGGAAGCTGCCAGAAGGTGGCTATAACCCTGACAGCTCTGTCACTACCGTGTGACTTAAAGCATTCCCCCCATAAATCTTCTTAGAAGTAGCTTGCCCATATATAGTAGCTTGCCCTGCACCCTCTTCACTGCCCACGACCCACCTTCAAGCCTTGGTGACCTAATGGGGGTAGACCCCTTACTGCACATGGCCCTTGCCTCGATGACCTAATGGGGTGGACCACTTGTTTTATTGCTCACGACCCTATCACTATCCTTAAAGATGATTTCACTCACTGCCCTGCCCTCTAACCTACACACAATAAATACTCACACTTCTGGACATTCAGGGCCTCGCCTGACTCTTCTCATAGGTGGTGTGGCCCCCTGAGCTCAGCTGCATTTTCCTTGTACTTCTGTGTCCTGTCTCTTTATTTCTCGGATCCATGTGCAGAAAGCAGAAACTGGACCCCTTCTTGACACCTTACACTAAAATTAACTCCCGATAAATTAAAGACTTAAACATAAGACCTAAAACCATAAAAACCCTAGAAGAAAATCTAGGCAAAACCATTCAGGGCATAGGCATAGGCAAGGACTTCATGACCAAAACACCAAAAGCATTGGCAACAAAAGCCAAAATAGACAAATGGGACCTAATCAAACTCCACAGCTTCTGCATGGCAAAAGAAATAGTCATTAGAGTGAATTGGCAACCAACAGAATGGGAAAAAATGTTTGCAGTTTACTTTTCTGACAAAGGGCTAATATCCAGAATTTACAAAGAACTGAAACAGGTTTACAAGAACAAATCAAACAAGCCCATTCAAAAGTGGGCAAAGGATATGAACAGACACTTTACAAAAGAAGACATACATGAGGCCAACAAACATATGAAAAAATGCTCATCATCACTGGTCATTAGAAAAATGCAAATCAAAACCACATTGAGATACCATCTCACGCCAGTTAGAATGGCGATCATTAAAAAATCTGGAGACAACGGATGCTGGAGAGGATGTGGAGAAATAGGAACACTTTTACACTGTTGGTGGGAGTGTAAATTAATTCAACCATTGTGGAAGACAGTGTGGTGATTCCTCAAGGACCTAGAAATAGAAATTTCATTTGATCCAGCAATCCCATTACTGGGTATATATCCAAAGGATTTTAAATCGTTCTACTATAAGGACACATGCACACGAATGTTCATTGCAGCACAGTTTACAATAGCAAAGCCCTGGAACCAACCCAAATGCCCACTGATGACAGACTGGACAGGGAAAATGTGGCACATATACACCATGGAATATTATGCAGCCATCAAAAATGACGAGTTCGTGTCCTTTGTAGGGACATGGATGAAGCTGGAAACCATCTTTCTCAGCAAACTGATACAAGAACAGAAAATCAAATACCACATGTTCTCACTCATAGGCGGGTGCTGAACAATGAGAACACACGGACACAGGGAGGGGATCATCACACACTGGGGTCTGTTGGGGAAAACAGGGGAGGGACAGCATGGGGTGGGGAGTTGGGGAGAGATAGCATGGGGAGAAATGCCAGACATAGGTGAAGGGGAGGAAGGCAGCAAATCACACTGCCACGTGTGTACTTTGCAACTATCTTGCATGTTCTTCACATGTACCCCAAAACCTAAAATGCAATAAAAATAAAAAAAAATAAGAAAAACCATAAAAAATTTAAAATTCCATTTCTAAAACATGAAATACTTAAGTTTAAATACAGCAAAATATGTAAAGTATTCACATATGTAAAATTGCAAAATGTTAGTGACATCAAAGAAATAAGTGGAAAGACACATTGTGTTTGTGGATTAGTAGACTCAATACCCTTATGATATCAGTTCTCCATAATCTCTCAATTCAAGATAGTTCCAATCAAAATCCAAGAAAGATGTTAAATTTTTAAGAAATTGACAAAGCCATTAAAAAAATTTTGTAGCCAGTTAAAATAATTGAAAAAAACACAAAAATTTAAAAAATACAAAAACAAGTTTGGAGCACTTGTGTTTCAATGCCTGGTATCAAGATTCAAATGAAGTAATAGTACTCAAGCAGTGGTTTTAGAAAGAAGACACATAGGTTCAAGGATGGAGCAGAATAGAGTCCAAATATAGACTCACACATTTATGGCCAAAAAAAAAAAACTATAGAATTTTTTTAACCTTTAATTGCATGTCCAGTTTTGTTACACAGATAAATGTGTGCCATGGTGGTTTGCTGCACAGATCATACCATCACCCAGGTACTAAACCCAGTATTTCATCTCTTAGTTATTCTTCTTGTAATATTGGGGTTCAGGGGTGCCTCCTCAGTTTCCCTGAGAGGATATTTCTCTAGGTTCTTGGTCAATCACTCCCCAAGTATGGGTGAGGAGACCACAACGCAGTAAACGCGGAACTCAAGAAGTGTTGTAGAAAATGATTTTATTTAAAGAGAGAGAGAAACAGAAGAAGGAAAGAGAAAGAAACAGGGAACTTTCACATTGAGTGAGAGAATCCAGAAAGATAGAGTCCAGGAGAGGAAAGCAGCTTCCACACTGAGTGGAAGGCAATAGAGAGATGGAGTTTAGGAGGGAAGACAGGCTTCCGTGAGAGAGTGTGGAAGGGGACTCCAGAGGGGAAATCCAGGAGAGGGAAAGACGGCTTCCACCAAGGGAGTGTTCCTGGAAGGGGACCCAAACATGGAGTCTGAAGGGGTGTGGAAGAAGGGGGCTTCTAACCTGGGAGGAACCCCCGCCTTCTCCAAGACCCCAGGCCAATGAAAGGAGTTCCTCAGAACTTCCACTGGAGTGACTGACTCTTAGTTTCTTCCTGTGCCCACAAAATTTAAACATAAACCGTTAAATCTCCCAGATGGAGAGAGATGGGAGGGGGGCATGGAGCTGGGAAGTTCTTGCCCTTAAAACTACGCCCCCTGTGGACCCAGAAAGAGAACAGCTTCCCTCATTCCCTCCCTCTCAACAGGAAAACCCAACTTGGAACACGGGTGTGGATTCTCTTTAACTACTTCCTGCTGAAATGGGGCGTAGAAGGGGCCCTGCAGTTGAGGCTTCCTTCAGAGGGGAGCCTTTCAGGGGTGTAGGTTGATCCTGAGGTCCACAATAGAGCCCACGAGCCAAGGACACCTGGGCTTGCAGTGGCAGGATTTTGTGACCTTATGGTTCCATGAGAAACGGATGTGACAGGTGGTTAAAGATGAGAGGCCCAGAGGCCAGCAAATACAGAATGGTTATAAAGGAGCCTGGGAGAGCAGAGCCAGGACAGGACAGTCCGTTGTTAGACAAGCTTCACAATACTGGTTCTTGAAGGTCTTCAGCCCCGTGTTTGATTCCTGAGTTCTAGGCTGAAAACAACACTTAACTGGTTTACGAAACAGCAGCACTTTTCCTAGGAAGAGGCAGCTTCCCTTCCCACTGTGAAAAGGATAATCGGAGTCTGAGAGAGAGCAAAGTTGAGGGTTACAGTCCTGTCAATGCCAGGATATAAATTAGACTTACGAGTGGCTGCTTCCCTGAGGATCTTGTTGGAAAAGCAGATGTAGATCTAATGGCTCGCAGGTGGATGAAGGGGTCTCCTGGAACTGCAGGCTGCAGGGCAGAGGGTCTGTGACTTTCCTCAGGAGGTGTCCAAGGCTTCAGCCGAGTGTGATGAATCCACAAGTCTATTTCCACCACCTTAACTGCCGTTGGAGTGCACAGAATGACCGAAAATGGTCCTTCCCAGGATGGGCCTAGAGAGGGAGAGTCTGAGGGGAGAGATTTCATGAGCACCAAGTCTCCAGGGCAGGAGAGAAACTGAGAAGGCCATGCGGTGTCTAAGAGATTAACTTCCTGGACCTCTGTGGCCAGCTTTCCCCGGGCTCTGTGAGGGTGACAGCTCCTGCTGGCACTTGCTCCAGGAATCCTCAGTCCTGCCATTGGGTCATCTGGTCAGACCCCTCAGGCCCTGGGGACCTTCATCCCCTGGGACAGTGTGCTCTCCAGTGATTCCCTTGGCACAGCGGGCATGGAGGAGATGGTGGACCATTCCTCTGCGGACAATTTCTTATAAAATGTCCCTTCAGACCGCTCTGATAACAAGTTCTGCCAGGCTGGCAGCTACCCCAAGCCCTTCCCTCATCTGAGCCCCTGGGTCTGCTTGCCTGAAAGCCATGACGGAGGCTGAGCTCTCCCATTCCTTTCAGCCTGTCCCTCCTGGCCTCCATTATAAAACACGGAGGTTGCCTGGTTCAGTAATGATTCTAGACTCTGCGTCGGCCCCAAGGCCAGTTTCTGGAGCTTCTTCCTGATACCTGGGGCTGACTAAGTAATAAACTTGTCCTTTAGTATGAACTGACCCTCTGTGGAGTCTGGTGACAGGGCGGTGTACTTCCTTAGGCCTCCTGCAATGGCTCCAGGGAAGCTGTGGGGTTTTGTCCCCTTCCCTTTGGAGGTTAGCTTTTCCACTGTCAGCTGCACCAGCAAAGGAAAAAAGCCGCTGGCCGTGGCAGTTTAAAAGCCACGTTCGCAGCCGCTGCTGGGCCCCCGTGAGCTCCCGCGCCCCCATGGCTTTCCATCGGCACGTTGACCCCACCAGAACCACTCGCTGGGTTGGGCCACTCCCCCAGTGGCTTCCCACACAGGGACCCGCAGCCGGAGGCAAACGTCCTGGGGAGGCTGTTTTCCCTGCTGGGACTGGAGAAATCACGCGCCAGGCGGCGGCGCGTCGGTCCCCTGCAGGCTCGGGCTGCACCTCGCCCCTCCCGGCTGTTTTTCCTCAGGCCTGGCCCCTCCCAGCTGTTTTTCCTCAGGCCGAAGGCTGCGCATGCTCAGTTCTGCGCCCCCGGGCTGGGCGGTTCCTCGCCGCCAAGGAGCGGAGAGCGGGGGTGCTCACGCTTTCCACCTCACAGGCTCCTGCAGGCTTTGTTCCCAGAGCTAATACCTGAAGGAGAGAGGAGAAGGCAAGCAGAGAGAGTGCTTGGAGGTAAACACGAAACAAAACGAACACAACTGCACTTTTCATTCTGTCTGGCCCGCCCCGCTTAAGAGGGCTGGGTGGTGCCTCCGAGGTCCCCACAGCCCTGCCTGGCTGCGGCCAGAGACAGGACAGAATGGGGCCGGTTGTACTCGCGGTGTTGGAGTCTTTGTCTCTGGCTGTAGCCCTTTTCCTGGCGTACCCCTCTCCTGGCTGTACCCCTCTTCTGGCTGGCTCATGAAGATGTAATATTGGGGTTCAGGGGTGCCCCCTCAGTTCCCCTGAGAGGACGTTTCTCCAGGTTCTCGGTCAATCACTGCCCAAGAATGGGTGAGGAGACCGCGGCGCAGCGCGCAGTAAAGGCCGGACTCAAAAGTATTTGTAGAAAGTGATTTATTTAGAGAGAGAAACAGGAGGAGGAGAGAGAAAGAAACAGCTGACTCTCACCGAGTGAGAGAATCCAGAAAGATGGAACCCGGGAGAGGAAAGCAGCTTCCACACTGAGTGGAAGGGAATAGAGAGATGGAGTTTAGGGGGGAAGACAGGCTTCCACGAGAGAGTGTGGAAGGGGACTCCAGAGGGGAAATCCAGGAGAGGGAAAGATGGCTTCCACCAACGGGGTGTTCCTGGAAGGGGACCCAAACATGGAGTCCGAAGGGGTGTGGAAGAAGGGGGCTTCTAACCTGGGAGGAACCCCGCCTTCTCCAAGACCCCAGGCCAATGAAAGGAGTTCCTTAGAACTTCCACTGGAGTGACTGACTCTTAGTTTCTTCCCTAGAACGTGAAATTCAAACATAAACCATTAAATGTCCTGGATGGAGAGAGATGGGAGAGGGGCATGGCGCTGGGAAGTTCTTGTCTTTAAAACTGCACCTCCTTGTGGACCCAGAAACAGAACAGCTTCCCTCATTCCCTCCCTCCCCCAACAGGCCCTACTGTGTTTTGTTTCCCCTATGTGTCCACGTATTCTCCTCATTCAGCTCCCACATCTAAGTGACAACATGCAGTGTTTGGTTTTCTGTTCCTGCATTAGAAACTTATAAAATTTTCAACGAAATATGCTAGAACACTTGGACATCCACATGAAAAAAATAAGCCTCTATTTCTACCGCTGCATATAGTAATTAACGCAATGTAAGCTCTAGACCTTAATGTAAAACCAGACTTCACGGATAGATTTTTCTTACTTTTCTCATTTCTATTTTTAATTTTGACTCATTTAGATTCATCTGTAGGCTCTTATAATTTAGTGGTCAGCCTATGTTTATTTAGAATATTTTCTTACATTCCTTACCCGTGTGTCTTCTTTCGTGGACAAGTACATCAGCGTGTAAAGGGACACCTTCAACCATCGGATTGTTTACAAGACGCTCTTATTTTTGTCTTCTTGCTTTTCAGGATCTCAGGGCAAGCAAGGAGTGAACGACTGGTTCCTTCTCGTTTTCCCCGTCTTACTGGGCATGTACACAGGTAAGTGTATGTACACAGCCTTCTAGATCTTCACAAGCATACTGAAGATTTTCAGAATTTTCTATCGCCATCTAATTTTTTACATACTTATTTTAATTTTTTTATCCAGGATCTTGTTGGCCTCATCCTAAATTGTAGACTTACACAGCTGTAATATTATAAGCATATATCTAGAGACATTGGTAATATCTTAGGGGTAGGGGTTTTTTCCCTGAGCTGAACTCTGAGTAAAAACCGTGATAATACCCTCACACAGCTGTGAACTTTTCAGTTACCATGCCAGGAAGCTGAAGATGGAGAAAAGATGAGAATAGGCCCAATTTAAAATACCACCAACAGCTATCTTACCAAGGTTTAGTAGTTTCTTGTTAAAAGATAGTTTTCAATTGTTTCGTAGTTTTGTTTAATTTCTAGCTGTTTTTCCTTTTTGTTAATGTTTCACGGCACATCAAGTTTATCAAGGTTTTCATTCTGCCATTCCAGGAGTTAGTCATTAGAAAGGTTTGGACTCTCAAAGTTTTCAGACATCTTATGCTCTACGTAATTGTCTCATTGCAAAATAACTGTGAAAGCTTCATAGCTCCCCCAAATGGTATCTTTCCTAAAGACTAGTAATGGATTCCTCTTAGAGGGCAGTTTGAGATCTAATAAAAAAACTTCCCTCTCTGCCAAGTTAGCATCTTCATTTTTCCTGCCCAGTAAGATTGCACCTTTGTCATCAACAAATTATTACTGTGTGCCTTTATTCTTCTCTTATTTAGTCTGAGTGCTAATTGTGCTTTTTTCGTCACTATTCTGAAAAACAATGGCTTGGATAGAGGTAGGGCAGTTTGCTTGTGTTTTGGTTTACAGACTGTCAAAACATAAAGAAACAAATCTATGCCCGACAGTGAGAGACAAGTATAGCCATGCACCACATAACAAATTTTATTCAATGATAAATGGTATATACAGTGGTGGTCATATAAGATTATAACAGTTAAAAAATTTCTATCACCTAGTGATGTCGTGGCCGTCGTAATGTCATATAGCACAATGCATTGCCCATCTGTTTGTGGCGATGCTGTTGGAAACATACCTACTGCCCTGTCAGTATAGTATAGCACAGACAATTATGTACAGTATATAATACTTGACAAAAAAAAACCATTATTACTCTGTTCACGTACTATGCTATATATTTATATATTTGTTAAACTATTTTTATGATTCTTTTGGAGTACATTCTTTCTCCTTCTATTTATAGTTATAAAAAAGTCTACTGTAAAATATCCTCAGGCAGATTCTGTAGGAGTGTTCCAGAAGAAGGCATTTTTACAAGAGATGACAGCTCCATATGTGTTACTGTCCCTGATGGCCTTTCAGTGGGACAAGATGTCGAGGTGAAAGGCAATGATATTGATGATCCTGATCCTGTGTAGGCCTAGACTAATGTATGTGTTTGTATTTTAGTTTTTAACAAAACACTTTACAAAGTAAAAATATAAAAATTTAAAAAATAAACATAGAAACAGCTTATAAAATAAGAATATAAAGAAAATATTTTGTGCAGCTATACAGTGTGTTGTGTTTTAAGCTAATGTTATTGTAAAGGAGTATAAAATATTTAAACATTTTTGAATAAAATAGGCATAGGAAACTAAGATCGATTTATTATTGAAGGAAAACATTTTTGACGAATTTAGTGTAGCCTAAGTGCACAGTGTTTATATAGTCTACAGTAGTGGACAGTAGAGTCTGACGCCTTCACATTCACTCATCACTCACTCACTGGCTCACTCAGAGCAACTTCCAATCTCACAAGCTCCATTCATGATATATGCCCTCTACAGGTATATTATTTAAAAAAAAATTTATACCATATTTTCCTGTTGCTTTTATATGTTTAGATACACAAATATTTAGTATTGTGTCACAATTGCCTACAGTATTCAGAACAGTAACATGTTATACAGGTTCCTAGCCTAGTAGCAATAGGTTATACCATACAGCTTAGATGTGTAACAGCATTTACCATCTAGGTTTGTGTAAATATACTCTATGATGTCATATGGTCATAAAATCACTTAATAATGAATGTCGCCGGGCGCGGTGGCTCAAGCCTGTAATCCCAGCACTTTGGGAGGCTGAGGCGGGTGGATCACGAGGTCAGCAGATCGGGACCATCCTGGTCAACATGGTGAAACCCCGTCTCTACTCAAAATACAAAAAATTAGCTGGACATGGTGGCGCGTGCCGGTAATCCCAGCTACTTAGGAGGCTGAGGCAGGAGAATTGCCTGAACCCAGGAGGTGGAGGTTGCGGTGAGCCGAGATCACGCCGTTGCACTCCAGCCTGGGTAACAAGAGCAAAACTCCGTCTCAAATTAAAAAACAAAACAAAACAAAAAAACAATGAATTTCTTAGAATGTATCTCTGTCATTAAGTGAGGCATGACCATATATATAATTCAGAGATCCTGAATGTTGAGACATAAAAACAAAATATTACTTTATGGCATGTCTCCTGAAAAGGGGGTAGGTGTATATGACCTCTGTAAAAAGACACAAAATACGTTTTTTGCTGGCCAGAGGTTACACTGTGGCAAAGATTGCTTTTCATCAAAATCTATTATCCCTTCTTAAGTGCGTGGAGCTTTCTGGTTAGTAACTTCTCAGCTGCATCAGTTTCTCCTATACTGATCTCTCTATCCTCTTATAATTGGTATGACCATGTTACTTGTTACTACCAACAGAATGGAAGCAGACATTATGTGTATTACTTCCAGGCCAAGAGATTTTTTTTAAAAAATTCCATCTTCTTCATTCTCTTGCCTACATGTTTTAAGAGGTTCTGAGATTATAGATATGGTGATGATATAAAAATGGAAGAAACCTGGATATCTGAATCATTATGTGGAAAGGACATGTTCCTTAACATAAGCCCTCATCTTGGACTGTCATAAGAATGAGACAAACTTCTATGTGTTTGAGCTATTACCTTTTGTGGCATATGCATTATAGAAATAAACGTCCTATAATTAAACCTTTCTTTACTATACCGGCCAAAATGTATGAGTAAATTAAAAGATGACTTTTTAAATGGATGATAAGTCAATATTTTACAATATCCTCTCACTCCTGCCAAATGTGTCCACTGAACGTGAAAAATATTTATAAACCTACCAAACCTATGTATGTATATATTTAACACCTGTTTTTATATATACGATATCCATATTTCCATACCTCAGTCTTATATACAGTAATAGCAAGAAATACTTGCATGACCATAAAAAGACATATTTTTCCCTTAGTAGTCATATCAAGACATATGTTCACTAAATAATATTGGAATTATCCAAATTATTTGTGATGATCTTGCCACATAAATTGCATAACATACAAACACGCATGTGACCACGTATGAACACACATAGACTAATAAAATAAGTAAAATTTTTAAATATGTGTCTGTTGTAAATATAATATGCCAAGCCAAATTTAAATGATATCATCAGCAACTGAGGTCATAGCTACATGACAGTAGACAATTAGATAAATTCTAATTGAGTTTTGATTTCATTGACAGTTATGACCTCTAATATATTTCACAGCAAAATTTATATGCAAAATTCTTCAAACTTAAATATTTACTTTCTCTTCTCAAGTGTTATATAGGTAGTGAAGAGGACGTGTTTATAGTTGTAAAAATGAAAATGTATTGAAAATTATGTTAAAATGGATAAGCTTATACTTTTAGTTGTCTATTGTTTAGCTAAAGAATGTTCTTTAAATTGGCATAATCAGGAAAATTCTCAGCAGTCTCGGTGTTCACTAAATAAAATACGTTTGATTTTATAGATGCATGTGGAGCATTCCATTCATGCACAGTCAACATTAAAAAAAGTAAAGAAGATAAAATAATATTTTTATATTTTCACCAAGTATTTAAATAAAAAACTGAATTGTTATTACTTAGTATATCCCGTAAAAAATTGCTGAATATGATCACCTGCTTTTATCAATTGTGGGTCAAGATAGCCAGGGGCAGACCTATGTTGTTTCTAGTTAAATAATTATAAGCTTGCTTTGCTTATTGTACACTGAGGTGTTTACCCCAAACTAAGCCATATAAAATATGGGTGCAGGAAAATAGAAATCAAGCAGCAACAGGAGGCCTAAGGTAAAGACCATCTGAGAGCGCTGTAAAACCTTGGGACACCTTGGGGTGGTTGCAGAGCAGGAAATACTGCTTGGTCCCACGAATGCCATCTCAACATGGAGGCTGCATAAGGATATCCTAAAGAGGACTTACACTAGATGTCTGAGAAGGGAGGAGACCTCTGCTCACAGGATGCAGGAGGGTTTTTGCAGATGGGAGCTTGCAAGAAAAAAGGACTTGCAGGGCAGTGATAACAGGAAGGCCACAGGCTCTGCCTAGGTTCTCAAAATATGGAGGGATTTTGATTGCTCTGTGTTCAGTGCTCATGAGGTAAAAGCCCCTTGATGCATTGCATGTGGTCAGACCTGGTGGTGCTTTATCCACTGTGCTTCTGAGGCAAATGCACCTTGATAGCAACCTGTGGTAGAATTCAGGGTTCTAGGTTTGCATATAAATCAGGTCTGCTGCTGAATACTGCAGACCACACCTCTCCCCATGGCTATCTTGCCCACATTAGTTTCAAGGCCTCCCCATCTCCTCCCTACTCCTCAATTAACAAGTGTATACACCTAATAAAAGCCTGTGGAAACCAGAACTCCAGGCCACTCTAATGTTGGTCCCCTGGACCCGTGCTGTAAAATTCTACTCTTGTGTCTTCCGCTTGATTTCCTTTTCTCAATCCCTCCTCACCTCCAGGACTAAGGGCACCCACGAACAGGGTTGGGGCTGGTACCCAACATCAATATTACGTCTTCAAGTTTCATCTTTAAGCTATAGTATTTTATGTTTAGTATTTTTCCATGTGTAGTTCTTCATCTTATTTATTGCATAGAGAATAATTAGAAAGACCATTTGTCATTACATATCTTAGTATTAAAAGACTAGCAGCTTCTTGTTAACACAGAAACAGGTTTTCATTTGCTGTTTTTGATTTCTTGTATCATTCTATATACATGATTCAACTTAACACCTTGTAAAATGTCAGGCTCTCTTAGGCATGTGTTTATAATAAAGTAGGCGAGTGTTTACCAATTCATTTCCAATCTTCACTGTATCAGTGAAATTAACTGTACTTTGATCAAGGTAACCTATCATGTCCATTTTTCACATTCAGTGGACACATCTCACTCAAACCATGAGCATCTTTAAAAAAAAGTTTACATCTTTCTTATTGAAACAGTCTCTTCATTCAACTCCTTAAACTGTAAACTCTCCTGTAGGTGCCAGAAGTGTCCAAGTTTTCCAGAGTCCTTTTACTTTATTTTTTTCTTTCCCTGGACTATGGTCTTCTTATGTACCTCTTCCTCAAAGACAGTTTGTGCCTTACAGCTCTTTCAGGTGTAATCTGCTGTTATGATTCTGAGCCCTGTTGATGTGGTGATAAGGTGTCAGAAAAGCAGAATGTTCTGTAATCTTCCGATTAAATCTCTTTTAGTGGGCTTGTCTCTTGGGATTGTGACTTTCATGCATTTATTCAATTGCATAGCTTTCTTGCTTCTGCTCCCTTTTAGTTCCCTGGCTGCAGCTTTTCCAACTAATCTACTTCCTTAAATCGCTGAGCCCCATAAACCATTCCCTTACGTGAGAAGGGAAGTAAAGAGATAGCTGAAGGGGGAAGAAATTACCTTTTCGGGCAGGAATAAGGTTTCAGAACTCGGGCAAAGTCTGTATACCTAGAATAATATAGAAGGTTCTGAGTGAATTTCACAGTGATTTCTCTTCCTTTCCTTCTGCCATAACCACAGGTGATCTTTTGAATCCTCACCAAAAAATCCTGGTGTGGAAGTGTCAAGACTCCCTTGGGCCTGGGACTTCCAGCAGATTCTCACTGACATAAGAGTCCACGTTCAGCCTGCAGTAGTTCCTGAAAATTACTGTTTAAGAGCCCTTTTATGGCTCCAGTGCCCGTACTCCATGTAAGCAGATCGTGGTTGTTTTGTCTCTCTTGATGTCTCTTCTCTCTACATATTGAGATGGCAGTTTCACCTGCAACTTTAATTCTCAGATGAACCCAAGAAATGCCATTTGTTTTCGTGTTTGTTCAGCTTCCTTTGTTCCATAAGATTGACAGTGAACTCTTTTAAGCTCTTCACCTGTTGCATCTAAAACCAATAGTCAATTCTGACTTTCAGTTTGTAGAGCACAACAATATCTCCAGCTTAGTTTTTGTCCTTACACTAACCTTGTCCCTTGCAATAAATGACTTAGTCTCATCTTTTCGGTATCAACCACAAATGTCACTGTGATATGGAGGTCCTCTTGTCACTCTCTTTAAAATAGCTTCTTCACTTTCATCTTTATAAGTTACAGCATCCTTTGTAAAACTTGTCAAAATTTCAAATTATTTTCTAAAAATTGTTTTCTCTTAAGAATCAAAATTGTTGAGGAAAAGAAATATGCCTACATCTTATTCATTCTTGTGTTTTTAATGTCTAGTAAAACTTATTACTCAACATTTTATTAATAAAATAATTTTATTATCAATAAACATATATGTTATAACATATAAAACACATTATTTTTAAAAATATGAGATCAGTTTATTCATTCAGATATCTTTTATATGTTTTTTCTATTAAAATTATATCTATTTTCATCATAATGTTCGGGAAACAATGATGAAATAGTTCAAATTAATTTATGATCCACTTAGTTTTTGTCTGCAAAATAAATATTAATATATACTGTATTGGTAATGCAGCCTTATTGACTTATTTCCTGACTCTCACTTTAATTTTTTATTAAATTAGAGCAATATGTTTTTTTTTTTAATTCTCCACTATGTAACTAGAATAAGCAATTGTCTGAGATTTTGGATTTGCCTGAATACAAGCTCAAGCTGACAATAAATGACTTCACATCATAACAAATAAATGAAACACTTTTATAAAATGATCCCTTGATTATAAAGCATGAGGTAACAGTATGGAATAGATCTCCCAGCCAACTCACAGTGTCATGTCAATTGTGCAATAAATGAATTTAGGTTGTTTTAAGCTCCTGTACTTTATAGTTGTTTGATTTAGCAGCATAATCTAGATTTTTCAAGTTGATACAACAGGAATTCAAATGAAAACTCATAATTAATCTTACATTTCATATTATGAAATGCCAGAGAACCAATTTTTAAAAAATTTTATAAATTTAGGATGTTTGATTTGCTTAATATTAATTCAATGAATGTTTCCAAATGTTCTTGAGTAAATGGAATTTCCCTGTAATAGCGTAATAATGAAATTCTTTTTACGTACCTAACATGCCTTAAATCACCTTACTAGATACACATATGCTATTTTCTATGTGTATTCTCCCTGAACTACTGCAGCTATCCCTTCTTTTCTTTAGCTCTTTCTTCCTGTTTCCCTCTTTTCTTTCCTTTATCTCTTTTCTTATCATTTTGTGTCTTTTTTTTTAAAATTGACTATCTTTTTGCATACTCTGTTGAATTAAAATAACCCCAGTTGTGAAAATGTTCTATTATCATGTTAAGGTCAGTAGCATTAGGTTTATAGCAACTGTTTAAAAACTGTATTTGTAATAGATTAGAAATAGAATAGAGGTTTTATACAGATCAAAAACTGTATGTAAAACTAATAACTATATGACATAAGAATTTGACTTTAGACATACTGGAGCATTCTGTTGTTAAATGAGGCTGAAAATGGATATATATTATGTATATCTTGGGTAAAACTACAATTATGAATCTATGTATGTGGCTAAGAGCCATCTTCATATTCTGAGTCACTTTTGAATAGTCTTTAGTGGTACCACTAACTGATTTTAGGACAGTACCAAAATAATGTTTTATGTTTTAAATGGATTTACAATAATGCTTATATAGAGGAATTTTAAATTTTCCCTTTTAGGTCATTAAATTATTGATATTTTCCTGAAATCACTTTACTTTTACAATATACATCTCTCTCTCTCTCTCTCTCTCTCTTTCTCTCTTTCTCTCTCTCTCTCTCTGTGTGGGTGTGTGTATGTGTGTATCCAGAAGTATAGTCCACATTATGATGAAAATCAGAAGCAAATTATATGCCAGTGAAATGTGGGTCCCATTGTGGCAGACCGGGTCTCACTATTGCAGGCCTGCATCACAACTGTTCCAGTACTGACTGAGTTGTTAAGTTAAATATTAAAAACCAGTGCCATTATGCAAAGGCTGAGATGTAACAAAAGGCCACATAGAGTTTGGCCTAGGCTTTCCTGGGCCTTAAGGAATGACAAGATGATGAAGAAATTCTTAACAGGAGCCATTTAGGATTAAACAAGTTTTATTGCAGGTCTGAGGAAATTCCCCAGGTCTCCACAAACAAGCTTATTGGGGGTCTGAAGGAACTCCCCAAACCTTCATTATTTAGCATGAGACATGGTAAGGTTACTCATCCCAGCATTTGGACTCATTTAGATTAAGTAAATGTACTGAGGCTCCAGAGGAAGGTCTTCAAGACTCGAACGTTAGTTATAGATTAAAAGAAGTTAATCACTTATGTCCTTAGATGAACGCACTCTTACATGTAGACGTATAGCTTAGAAGGTACATACGCTCTGGAAAACTTTGTAATTTTGAGTTGGTCTGGTGATAATTTCCAGGCCTTCTCTCTGTAACTGGATGCAGCTCTTCCTCCCCAGTTCATCTGAGTCTTGTTATTGGGCCACGAGACATAGCAGCCCAACCCTCAGTTTTGTCCAGGAACACTGTGATACTTAGAAAACAGTCTCTCTAGAATAGCCTGTAGGTGACAGGCAATCAAACACTATAATCATGATTAATTGCTAGCCAACTAAAAAAGAAAACTCCAGATGCATTTAAATACAGATTTCGGCTCAGCATGATACACAAATTGAAAGCTCTCTTCTTTTTTATTAGTGTATCTATTAAAATAACTTACTACATCTGTCTTAAAGTGTTAAGTACCTTCAATCGTACAAAAACAAGTTTAATCACATTAATAGAACATTAATGTATTTCAAGATCTTTCTCTTGCTAAATGAACTCTGCTATTTGTCTGTTCTTTTATAGAAAACAGTGTTATAAAGAGAAACTGATTTTAAAAATAGGATAACATTCTTAATTATTTATTTCTTTGAATCCTAAACCAAAGTAGAAAACTTTTTCTTCTCAATAAAAGGACTATTGAATGGATCCATTTCTGTAATAAAAAATAATGAAATATTCCCTTATTACTCATCTACCACCATAGTGGACTCTCTAAGAATTGTGTATAAGGCCACTTAATATGAAAATTTTGAATCCTTTGTTTAGACATGGGGAACGGGAAAGACTATCTTTCATATCACTAGAATGATTATCCACATAAAGAGAATGAAGAATACTTCTATAATGAAGGTGGAAACAAATGAAAATTGGCAAATAATGTTTATATATATTCTGGATACAATGTGGCAATACAAATAAGTATACCAAAGAGACTGAAAAATCTCTCTTGGATGTCCAAATGCTTCTTAACCATTTGCCATGTAATAATCCAAATTTTATTTTAAAAAGTGAGCCTGGTAATAAAATACTAATGCTTCTATAGCATGGACTGGACTTTGCCCTCTTATAATATAGTTTTATACGTTACAATAAGGGGAGAAAACAAACATAACACTTTTCATAAAATTTTGTCAGAAACCAGAGGAACACCAACTACAGACATCAACTGAGAAAGGAAGATTGTAACTTCATAAATAAGTCATCATAGTTTGCTGTTTTGGTTATAGGAGTTCATGTTGCCTTTCCCTGGAGAAGCAGAGAACAAGTACATCAAGTACATGGAAGGGGCAAGAGTAAAGGCAGAACTGAGACTCATTTCTCTCATTTCTTTCTTACTAAGGGAATGACCGGGGAAAGAACACCTTTTACCAGCCTCTTTATTAACATACTGGTGGTACTTGCTGATTCATTTAATGGCGGCCCTGTCTTAGAAATGCCTTTTTTTTTTTTTTTTAAGACAAAGTTTCGCTGTTGTTACCCAGCCTGGAGTGTAATGGTGCGATCTCGGCTCACCGCAACCTCCGCCTCCCGGGTTCAGGCAATTCTCCTGCCTCAGCCTCCCGGGTAGATGGGACTACAGGCACACGCCACCACGCCCAGCTAATTTTTGTATTTTAGTAGAGACGGGGTTTCATCTTGTTGACCAGGATGGTCTCGATCTCTTGACCTCGCGATCCACCCGCCTCAGCCTCCCAAAGTGCTGGGATTATAGGCGTGAGCCACCGCACCTGGCTAAGAAATGCCTTTTAAGTGTCAAAGTCTGAGATATTAATTTAGACGGAAGGAAACTTAGGACAATTAAATGTAAAGCATATATCTGAAATGGACTCTTGATGTTTATGATATTTGTAAATATTTCAACAACAGATATAATCTCAGGATTAGATAAAATAGTTTTTATTTCAGATTTTGAAAGAATATTAAAATTTATTATTAGTAAGGTATAACTGATGTGTCTCAATTCATTATTATAAATAAAATATGAATTTGTGGACTTACAGAGAATAGAATGGCTGGTAGCAAAGGGGAAGCTAATTATATCAGCATTTTTTCTAGTTGCCCAAGAATATGAAACTATAGAGCAGTTAAGAACAGTAATTCTGCACATATTATTCAGAAATTTCCCGTTAATTATAAACATGAGTAGAGCTAAAGAAAGGGGACATTTAGAAGCTGGATCTGACAGATTCAAGCTTTTTCAGCAAGTAATACTCTGTGCCAAACCTTGGCCTTTATCTTTTATTCATTAATAAACTTGGTATTGGTCAAGATAAATAGATAGGCACAATGGCTTCTAACAGTTAGGAGTTAATCATTTCATTTTGTTCACATATCACAGAAGTACATGTTTTTATTAATAGTGATGAGAAGAGAAATTTATTAGAAAGAAAACTACTGTTAGTTAAGACATACAGAAAACTTTTCATATTAATTTAGCTCTTTTACTATTTCTTATAATGTATCTACCGCCTTCTATTAGATGGGAAGAGACTCCAAAATATTAACTTACTTATCAAGACTACCTTAATGTCACAAATACATGAATTGAGCATGTGTATTTGTTTTAGTTTCCAAACTTTTGTTATTGACATGTTACAACATTTTTTGGAAGAGTAATTCCCCAGAGGAGTCTTGAATAGTATTATTTTTCATTCTCACATTTACACAGGTCTTTGCTCTTTTCTTGGTCTTGCAAATGGTCTTTCATTCTTTCCTTTATTATTATCTTGGTTGTTTAATGTTGACTTTAATAAAGTAATCCTTTGGGTGAATAAATAAAAATAACTTTTGATGTATACAACATTATGTCCAGATTATAACTAGGGGGTCCTATAATCATTTTTATTTTAGAAAATCTAAATACCATCAAAAATCCTTAACCTTTTA